GAGGTTGGAAGTAAAGCGAAGAAGCAAACACAGAAATGTCCCTGTGGCATTATGTTCTGGAGGAAGACCGAAAATAAAGACAGCACATAGTTAGTCAGACAGCTAGAAGTGCAAAGGCCTGAAATGAGGCCTGCAATGGCGGAGGAAGTGCTTGGGGAAAGGATGAAGTAAACAAGATGATCAGAAGAGCCTTTGCTAAGAAAGTGACATTTGTGCAGAGATCTGAGGGATGTGGGAAGCAAATTGCACGGCTATCTGGGGAGAGCACACCACGCCACAGAAGCAGCCCCTGCAGAGACACCGCAAAGGACCCCAGGGGAGAGAAGCCTGGCAGGTGGAAGTAGCCACAGGGCAGGACAGGTGGTGAGGGAAAAGCCAGGGAGAGGCCTGAGTGCAAGGGCCATGGGAAGGACTCTGGCTTTTACTAGAACAAGATGGCACAGTGTCTGTGCAAAGAAGTTAAATGACCTAGCTTAGTTTAAAATATGAAAGTGAAAACAAATGCTATGCTGAGAAAAGTCAGTAGTTGGCCAGAGCAAAAGCAAGGAGGCTGGCAGGATCGCCCACAGGAGAGGCCTGGGTGGGCTACTGTGTGGCCACAGGCTGGGAGAGTTGGGAGGAAGCCTGCACACGCCCTGCGGGTGGCGCCACAATGAGCCAAGGGAAGAGTCAAGGGTAAACCTTAAGTCCCCAGACCTGAGTTACTCAAATGATGAAATTCTTATAATGGAGATTTTAGGAAAAGCAAACTGCAAAGAGAAAGCCAGAATTTGGTTTTCTGAGGATACTAAGTCTGAGGTGTCTTATATTGAAGAGGAGCTATCTACCCAGGGAGCACTGGCTATCTGCCAGGCCCAGAACACTGTAGACATTTGGACAAGACACTATACATTAATGTAATTGGAATTATGCTAATGAAAAAGTTTTGCACATGCTCACCTGCTTCACAAAGCAAGAAACCTTCGGGTGTATTAGATGGTAACAGTCCCTTGCTAAGTCGTCCTGAGCTCCTCCTCCCCTTGAGGTTTGTGGGTATGACATCTTATTTGCCCATTTCAAAGGGATTAAATGCCTCCCTTCCCTACCTTACCATATCCCCAAGAGGCAAGCATGTGGTTGCCAGCAGAGAATAGCTCAGTTGCTCTTGTAGCACATTTTAAGGCAAATGGGAAAAGCCTTCACTGTGAAATAGAAATATCCCAAAGACAACTTGGCTCCTGAATATCCCAAGAGAGCAGGGGTACCTAGACAAGAAGGCTTGGCAGAATACTTCAAGGCTTCACCTTTCCAAGGCATGCACAACTCCAGCTGCCATGACACAGGACTCTTAAGTAAATATGTGAAGAACACCCATTCTGGGAGTGGGACAATAAACTGTCTACACCTGAAGGAGGGTGTGGGGGCAGTGGAGAGCTAGGCTTTACATGGAGGCAAATGGCAGATGCCTAATTAAAGCATTTTCTAGTAGTTTGGCTTATTTTGTGATTCCTTTTTGCAAACAAGAAGCGGGGAGAATATGTTAGTTCTTGGCAATCTACTTCTAAAAACAACTTTTTTGTCCCATCATCCTTTTTGTATCCTGGTGCAAAAAAGTGAAATCTTTTATATATAGTCAGCAATCTGACTTTGTCCTTTGTTCAGAACAGTGTTTCCCCTCATTTCATATGAGAATACAAAAAACCATTTACTTTTATAGCCTGAATATTAACTTTAAATTTAATACACATTGTTAACTTAGATGTCTTTTAATTCAACAAAGATGTCTTTCTAATTTTTGCTATCCTGATTCAACACTCTCAACTTCACTAGTTTACGGTTAGCCATAGAAACATTAAAAACATGCAAATGCCATTTTAATGTTTTTTTCTAATGATGTTTTTCTAATATGTTAGAAAAGCACCAAACTTTGAAACAATTTGAGTGCATGTTTATATGCAAAGTGTTGTACTTATTAGCACATTACAATAACCACTTAACTGAAAGTATAGACATCCTTACAGAATAAAGATAAGTATGCTCTAAGTGGAAAAATATCAAACAGGTGTGATGATTTCATTCAGTTTTTCATTCAAAGTTGACTTGAGTGTTCTTCTTCAGGGTTTATAAGTTTTACCTTATTTTTACTTAGAGGTTTTGTCCCACACAATTTGTCTATTGTGTAGGTGACTCCCAAAATAATGACTTTGTGTGTCTGCTTAACATTTACATATGTGGATTATGTATAGTATTGAGAATGTGACACCTTTTGATAGGGTGATGGATGCAAAACAGCACAGTGAGAAGACTGTCCCTTAAACACTGAATAAGAAATAAAATAGACTACTTCTTCACATCATGAGAAAATATTCATAGGACAAAATTAAGGTGTTAAATCTGGCATTCATTCTTTCCTGATTTAGGGTGGTTTGGAAAATTCTCATTCGGAAGTGTCTAAAACCAAGGTACAAACAGGGAGTGTGGTTTACTCAAGATTCAAGTAAGTTACCTTAGAATGGGTAAGCCAAACACAAGTAGCTAGTGCAATTACTTTTTAACAGATAATTCAGGTTAGTAGGTGGAGACACAGTTCTGCCACTATATTTAAGGTTAGGTTAACAATTAACTTTGGTTCCCTGAAGTAGTTTAATCAAAGCTCACTGTAAATGACTAAACATAAAAATTTTGTTTTTAAAACCTATACAAAATGCTTCCTATCTTGACCTCTGCTAGTCATCTGGGTAAGGTGTACAAAAGAAGGTGAGGGTATTTTCACTCAGAATTGAACACAAGCATCTTTACTTTTCCCGGAAAGAAAGAGCATCAATGTCTTTTGATCCACTAATTTTCTCTGCTATCCACAGTAGGGGATGGTGAGACTGATGCCCAAAATGTGTGTCCACAAAGGGAAAGAAAGCCAATAAGTACCACGAGTGGAGAAAAGCAGGCCTAAGAACTGGATTTTCTCATCCGGGAAAACTCAGAAACCGGCGCTGGGGGGCATTCAATAGCTTTCCTGAGACCAGCAGGCATAATACTGCATCTAGGTTAAATGGCTTTTTCAGACAAGAAGCAAAGAAAGTTGTGCGTGGAAGTGTGAGAGGGGTCTGTGTGTGTCCTCGGGCGCCTTGTGCTTTAAGCCTCGCACGAGTAGAAACTCGATTTCCAGGAAGAGTAAACAATGCGCGATCCCTCGGTGGTGTCCTTGGCCATTGCATTACGGCAACGGCCAGGAGGGGGGCTGCCCAGCGCCGCCCGCGCTGGAGGCTGGCGCTGCTCTTCGGAAATGCCCTGGCTAGGAAGGCGGCATCCTTGGTCTCCAGCCCCTGCTAGGCTCCACGACCAATGGCTGCATTGCCAGTCCTCTCTGGACCTTCCCTGGCAGGAACTCCTCGCGCCAGAGGTGGACGCTGGAGTGCAGCTTTTGCAGCGGGTGTAACCCGGGCCTGGGTCCACAGGCTTTCCCGCACCAGCCAGTGTCACCATGGTCCCACTAGCGTCTCGGGATCTGCTCAATGCCATCCCATTAACCCTGCCCCCACTTCTCCGGAGACTGGTCCAGCAGGTACCGCGGGCCAGGAGGCGCCACTCTCCAGTGGGCCAGCACTGGCTCCCAGCAACAGCAAGGCTGTCCACACGGTTCCCTCGGGCTCGGGTTCCTGCAGGCTGAACACGCAGAGCTCCAATCCCGTCGTGCCCGCTGCCCTTCGAGAAACTTTCCAAAACAGCCAAGCTCAGTAACTCGTGTTGTGTAAGGAAGGAAGCGTCCGGGTCAGGGGAGGCGGGGGAGCGGAAAAGGTGTTGGGAGTCCGGCTTCCCGTCCCGCACCCCGAAGTCTGGGACAGCTCCCCGGCTTGGTCTGCTCAGACGGGGCAAGGAGGGAGGGGATCGCAGGATCCTGCTTTGCATGCTCTCCAACAGTGGAGAACTGAGAAAAACGCGGAGAATCGATAGCAGACACTTTCCCTCCTCCCAGGGTCAGACAAGGTGGGCGGGCACTGCCCAGCTCGCACCCCAGCGCCCCTGGCCTCAGAGACAGCTCCAGGACGCGTGGTGGAGTCGGACACCCTCAGCTCGGGGCTGGGAAGCGTCTCCCTTGTAGTGGCCAGCCCGGAGCTACCTCTTGCCAGGTGTCCCCACCCTCCCTCTAGGACCCCCTTTCCAAAGAGGGACCACATTGAGCTTGGAGGAGGCTCAACAGTCCCAGCATTGAGGGCTCTGTGCTTGCGTGGGACGCGGCCGACGGGCAGCGAACTCGCCGCGGGTCCGAGAGCTGAGATGGGACGGGACTTGCAGCCAGGGCACTGCGCAACACTGAGCGGCTGCTCCTGGACACTCATTCCAAAGAACAAAGCCCGAAACCTCCGGTGCCAGCGGCCTCCGGAGCCAGGGACTCACCCAGGGGCAAGGCGCGCATGAGCCCAGGGCCATCACAAGTTTCCCGCACTCCGGGGAGCTTGGTCCCGATCTGCGCCGACAACAAAAGACTCTCGTCTCCTCCCCACCGTCTCCGTGGAAGGCTTCCTTCTACCTCAGAACCTAAACCAACACTGGGCGAAAACAGCGGTGCTCCTCCCAACACGCTTTGCCCTCGAAGGCTGAGCCCCTTCTCCAGCCTTCCCCAACCGAACGGAGCGCGCCCCAGTCCCACCCTCTCCGGCCCACTCCGCTCCCTGCTGGCCGGAGAGCGAGGACGAGCCTCGGACCGCACAGCCCTGGGTAGGGCGGCCACCCAAGCCGTCGCGGTGCGGGGCGGCGCCGGGCATGTGCGAGGCGCGGATGGGGAAGGTCTCGGCTTGAAGCCCAGCGATCCCGGGGCGCACAGCTGAGGGGAGCGGCGGGTTGGGCTCGGGACTGCTCCCCCAGGACCGAGGAGCGCTCGGGAGGCAGAAATGAGAGACAAAATAAAACGCAGGTACTACAAAGGCCACGGCGCGCGCTGGATGGAGGTGGTTTCAGCCTGGGACCCTCGGCCGGAGCCTGGCGGTTCCGAAGGTGGGGCGCGCAGGGACGCCCGGCCGTACCTTTTCGGTGCATCGACGGGCAGGCTCGGGACGGATTGGCACGGCGTGTTTCCCATTTAGTAATCCATTATCGAGATCGCTCCGGGCCTCGAGCTGCGCGCTCCGCTTTGCCAGCCTTTGTCATTCCTACATGTGTGCTCTTTGGGACAACAGTCGCGTCGTCTACTTTCTGGGATGCAAGCGAGCTGTGTTCATTTCCAATGACACACGGAGAAGGGGGCAGAAAGAAGCCAAAAAAGAAAAAGAAAAGAAAAAAAGGAAGAAGGAACACCAACACGGACGAGGGTGACTGTTCAGGAAACTCTTCTCCAAATCCAAATTCCACTCGGAGTCCACTCCTCAGTCCCCTTCGGTGTATCCACGCCGGTTAACAAGTCATCGCAGGGCGCGGGGCGGGGGGCTGGGGCGGGGCGCGCGGCTCGGCCCGGGCTGGGCCGGGGAGCCGGGCTCGGGCGTGGGGTGGGGCCGCGGCCGCGCTTCTAGGCGGGCATTGCGGGCGGTCGGCGCCGCGGAGAAGCTGCGTCTCGTCCCGAGCGCGAGGCAGTGGAGCGCGGTGCGCGCGGAGCAGAGTTGGCTGCAGCCTCACCCGGTGCCGCTCGCTACTCCTCTGTCACCGCGGAGGCCGAAGTGCCGGGCGGAGCCAAGTCCCGGACTGGATCGCGCGCGGAGGACTCTCCTCCCGCAACCCCGCCTCCTTTGGCTAGCGTCTCCTCCGACCCGAAGGAGAGCTCCGGGGTGGGGTGGGGTGGGGTGTGTGTGAATGTGTGTGTGCGAGTGTATGTGTGCGCGCGCGTGTGTGCGTGTGCGCGCGCGCGTGTGGATGCGAGCGAGCGAGGCGGGAAGGGGAGACCTGGGCGCTGCGGCTGCAGGTGGAGCTCGGGCTGACACCACTTCCCCCACTGCAACCCCGCGGTGCGCTGGGCAAGGCCCGGGCCGGAGGGCGCCCGCGGGAGGAGCCCTGCCGTCTGCCCCCTCCGCCCCCCACTCCGCTCTTGCAGGGTAGAGGAAAGATCCGGAAGGCACTGCTGAGCCCAGCCAAGCCAGAAAAATAGATAGAAATAGACGTAGCGCAGGAGTGAGTTACAAGAAAGGATCTGTCCATCGATTTTCTTAAATGCAAAAGTTCTAAAGCAGGCGGTAAGTGAGCGGCGAGTCTTTCTGGGTCTGATTAGTGTGTTAGGAGGCAGATTGTAGCAACCACAGACGCCCCGCGCACTCCGAGGAGCTAGGCAGAAGCGGCGCGGTCAGGGTGCGCTTGGAAGATGGGGATGGGGCTCTGAGTTCGCGCACACACTCGTTAATAAAGCACGCAGGGCAGATCGACTGCGGTGCAGAGCCAGAGGTCATCAACAATGATCTGTTTGTAAACTCCTTGGTTTTAGAGTCCACAACACGACTATTAGAAACGCCTAAACTTTAGACAGGGGACGCAGACAATGCCGAGGACCCGAGAGCTTTATGAAACAGGGAAATCGTAACTCCTTCCCGGGCTCCATTGTTAGGCTCTTACGCTGAATGACAGGCGTAGCCTTCCTCCTCCTCTTTCACCCGGACTCGCAGAGCAGGGGAGCCCCGCAGAATCGCCGCACCCACGGGGAGACCACGCGCTCCGCCGCTGTGCACCCCGCTGCGCCCCAAGGGGGCTCTGCAGATGGTGCGGGCCTGACCGTGGCCGTGGAAGAAAGTCACACCAGGCGCCCAAGCAGTTGTCGGGAAAGTCTTCACTAGTAGGGAGGTCGACGGAGAAGATCAAGTGGGGAGATTGGGGATCGGATCCACGGGAGCTGAGCGGCTCCGTATTAGAAACCATACCTGCTCTTTCATTGGGGCTAATGCCACTAAGGAGGCCACGTCCTCCTATTCCCGTCCATGTATGTGCATGCGTCTGTTTAAGCATGCTCACGAAGAATAAATACACAAGTGACAAACCACCATCAACCCCTTTCTTGTTCGCTAACCACCGGAGAAGAGGAGAAGCAAGGGTGGTTAAAAGGGTTGTGCGCGTCCCTGCCGTTCTACCCTGTGACCAGCAGGGGCCACTCTCCTCTCCTCTGCCAGGAGCTCAGTGGCTGCCTTAGGCGCGGCCCTGGGTGCGCGCGCAGCCCCTTGGTCCAGTCCGGTCCTGTGCAGATGGTTAGGGTTCTCGGCGACTCGGCTGAGCTTGCAGATGTAGGCTACACTCAGCTCCCGCGAGGCGCGTCCCCAACTCGCCCCAGCTCGGTCCCGCAGCCCAAGGCCCGGCTTAGGGCCCTGGTTCCCTGCCGGGTTGCTCAGGCCCCTTTTCCGTTTCCGCGCGGATTAACATGCTAATCATGTCTGGGTAAAAGGTTATTTAATTGGCAGAATTAAGCAGAGCAAACGGAGTGTTTCATAGGCGAACCAAATTAATTCCGGGTTTAGCTCCTTCCCTTGGAGAAACAAACAATTAAGTTGTCTTGTTTGCTTTATGGATATATTGGAAATGCCTCCACATCAAGTTTCAGGGTGTTGTTTAAAGGGAAATTATTTTCAATATTAATACTTGCGTGTTCAACTTGTAGTAACACTAAGCCAAGAGGCAGAGATCAAATGTACCTAATTTAAAATTGCAGAGTACAAGAGGGAAAGAATTAGAGTTTACTTTGGCATAGCCAGGAAATACCACCCAGCATCTTCCTAGCCAGGACTGGACCTCAGAGTCGCACCCTCCGGTAGGCGTGGTCCTCACCACGTGGTAGCCCAGTTCTAGCTGCCCTGGAGAAGCTTCAGGCAGGTCAAAGGCCAGCCACAGAAGGCCCCTGAAACCCTGAGGGATCCTGGGGATGGGGTAGCAGGAAGACTTCACAGAAGTCCCGTGCTTGCCCCTCAGACTCAGTCCTAGATGCCAAGGCTCAAAGTCTGCAGTTTACCCAGCTCCTTCCAGGGTGAGGGAACCAAGGAGGGTTCAAGAACCCCAGAATGTTAGAGCTCAAAGGAAAGCTGAAGTGGAACGATTGCCTGTGGGTCTCTTGGGGCCGCTGGAGTTATAGCACCTGACTAGCTGGGGTCTTGAGACAGTCGCTTATCTTTTGAAGAGAGCACACCTGTCCCTGGGATCAGTGTCATATGCCCTGCCCAAGGGTTGCACGGATTGGCCAGTGTGTGTGTGTGAATGGAGAATCTAGGGCACTCACTGCTCTGTAAATGTTAACTAGCATCACTGTCAACCTTGCCATCCTCCACATCAATCCTGATGTCACATTTTATAGGGGTCAGGTGAAGGCACCACAGAAAATATGGCTAGTCTTGTGCCAATAACTGGGGCAGGGCCAGGAGCTACCCACAACAACTCCCCTCAGTAAATGCTGGCCTGACAACATCCACTCCCATCAAATCCCCTGGGGAAAGTGAGGAGGAAGGTTAAGATCAAATGAGGTGAGCTCACCCTGACACAGCAAGGGGTAGTGAGCTTGGGCGATGAGTCTATGGGTGCTTAGCTGCCTGGGCAGGCTGAGTTACTGGGGCGCCATCCAGGTAGCACTGTTGTTCCAGATCCAGGCAAGCATTGTTCTCCACAGAGAAGACACTGCATTCTTAGTCCTTTCTGAGGAGTTTGCCCTTGACCATAAATCAATGGTTTCAAATTCTTTTGTGTATTAGAAATCCCAAGGAGGGGACGGGGAGTTGGCTCAGTGGAATAATCGCCTCCTGGGCAAGTGCAAGGGCCAGAGTTCAATTCCCGGTTCTGCAAAAAAGAAAGAAAGAAAGAAAGAAAGAAAGAAAGAAAGAAAGAAAGAAAGAAGAAAAGAAAAAAGAAAGAAAGAAAAAGAAATCCCAAGGAACCTTTTAAATGTCATGAAAGTTCAGGCTCCAGACTGCCCCTCACAAGGTGCAGTGGGGCCTGGGCAGAGGCATCTTTAAAGCTCCCTAGGAGACTCTAACATGCAGCCAGGGGAGTCCCTCTATCCCTGTGAATCCTGGAACGAGGCTGTTTCTTCCCCCTTGTACCCTTTTATTCCAGGCTTGAGAAATCAGGTCCTCATCCTCCTTGTGTCTCACAATGATGATTTCAGGCCATAGCTTTTCCTTTCAAAACCCCAGGCTTTGGTGGCTGTGTTATGCAGGGCCTCTGTGTTATCATCCACAACCCACACTACCTCGTTGTTCAAAGACTTAGTGTCAGGCTTACTATCCTAAGTGTCCCATGTCCTGTCATCATTTGCAGTAGTGTCAGTACCTATCTCCGCTTCCGTCCTCTGCCTCCTCAGTTTCTTGTTTTTCTCATCTATGCTGGCTTTTTCTCTTCCTCTCTCTAACCACTCCAAGACTTCATCCTAGGTTTTAGCATCAGAAGAGATTCCAGGTCTAACGCCCCAGTTCTAGCCTCCAGCTCTCCAGTCCCATGTTCCTCCCACTCAGCTTTCCTGTTTGCACATCCCTACGGGCTCTGTGATATCTATGTGACCTGCAGACCCCTGGGGCCTGCCCCATCCTGCTTCTTCTTCCCTTCCTCTCTGTCTAGCAGAACCTCGTGACACCAATTTCTCTTCTCTACCTTCCGGTGAATATTCATCTGACCAAAAGTTAGTTCTAAATTATATAAGCATCAGCCTCCTCTTCTGTAGTGCCCAACAGTTGAAGCCTGATAGAAAAATATGTAAGCAAGTTAAGCCCCCAACCTCAGTTGCATCCTCAGCATTATCTTCCTCTCGTTCCCCTCTTTCCTTTATTCCTTTATCTCAGCCTCTTTCTTTCCTTAGCCAGACATTTCACCCTGTCCAAATGTCGGACCCTCAGTGCCAACCACTTCCCTGAAAACTGCAGTGCATCTGCGGTGCAATTTATTTGCCCTGTATTTAGTATTTATGTCTAAGCTTCTCCACTTAGAGTCCAGACAGTGTGCTTGCTCCAACCTCAGTCCAGCCTCTCTCTGTGGTATCTGTCACTGACACATTCTCAGTAAGTCTGTCCTTTTGCTGCCAGCCCATCAGCATGTAAACAAGTTCCAGACTCTCATTTTAGAAGCAAGACCTTTCCTAGCACTCTGGGAGGCTGAGGCAGAAAGATTCCAAGTTCAAGCCCAGCTGGGCTGACTTAGTGAGATCCTATCTCAAACTAACAGATAAAATGGGGTGGGAATACAGCTACTCAGAGGCCCTCAGCTCCATCTTCAGTACTGTAAAAGGAAGAATGACAAGAAGAAGAGGAGGAGGGGGAGGGGGGAGAAAAGGGAAGAAGAAAGGGGAAGGGTAAGAAGGGGAGGGAAGAGGAAAGAAGGAGGGGGAAGGGAGGACTAGGGAGAGGGAGAGGAAAGGAAAAAGTGAAGCCTCCCTGGCTCATCTTTTCCTTCCATGCTACCAGCCCCCTTTCCCCCTCCTTCCAAAAGCAATTATTATCAAATATTGTTGAGGTTGTTGACAACCACCATGACCACTTCTTCCTCTGCCGTGTACTCCTGTTTTCTGGCTCTGTCTCCAGTGCTCCACTGACAAGGCTTTTGCTGAAGTCTTCACCAATATCACTTACAGTAGATGCACTGCACATTTGAGTTTTTTATTTTCTTTGAGTTCTCAGTAACAATGAACATGGCCATGTATTCCCTTGTGAAATATTCTCTGCTCTTTTACAACACACCACTCTCTCCTGGCTCTTCTCCCTCTCTTTCCCTTCCTTTCTTTTCCTTCCTTCCTTCCTTTCTTCCTTCCTTCCTTCCTTCCTTCCTTCTTCCTTCTTTCTTCTTTTAATTTTGTTTCTCAATGGAGA